GCACGTAGTCGTGTCGATCGTCAGACCGACTTTGCACAAAATTAATTATCCTCACTTCACCCAGGTGGGAATGGGTACTTGGCTATAGATAGCGAAATATCTTGTCAGTTGGTTAGTGTTTGAGCGCTTAATCAGCTGCTTGCACTGTATGCTTCCCGGGAAGCTGAGAATGTTTCAGAGTGTTCTATGGTCTGCTGGGGTAATAATATAGTGTAAAGTGCATAGAGCCTGCTGTTGAGCGGGGATATGCGCTATACAAATGCTATTTATTATTATTATTATTATTATTATTATTATTATTATTATTATTATTATTATTATCATTATTATTATTATTATTATCTATCTATCTATCTATCTATCTATCTATCTATCTATCTATCTATCTATCTATCTATCTATCTATCTATCTATCTATCTATCTATCTATCTCTCTCTCTTTCTCTCAAAATGTTTTCACTTTCTCACTCTTTCTCGCTGTTTCTCTTTTTTTTCTACCTCCCACTCACAGATTACCACGTCTGTTGTAGTTTTTTTCCCGCATGAACACAAACACAAAGCACTAATGGACTCACAAATCCAGAACCACACACTAAACCATATATATTGGTTCATATTCCAATAAGTTATTATTTTGTTAATCTTCGCGTGGATTCTAACCCTTTCAGGAACCCGACATTGTGTCTTTTACAAAGGTACCTGATTATATAAATTAATTTTCCTCCAGGCGGGATTAGGTACCTGGCTACAGAAAACAAAAGACATTGTCAGTTTGTTAGCATTTGGACGCTTAATCGGCTGCTTGTATTGTATAATTCCCAGGAAGTCTAGAATACTTTATGTAATGTACAGAGGGGCTCTTGTGGCCTAGAGGCTAAGGAGTTCACCTCTCATTCAAAGTTCCCGGGTTCGAATTTGGGTAGTGACGAACATTTTCTTCTCTAAAATTGTCTCCCTTCACCCCTTTCCTGCTCTCTAGCAAAGTTCTGTCGTCTACTTTCGACTCCTCTTTCTGCCTCCATCTCCTCACCTCCTTTGCCCCCTTCTCTGGGCTCCTGACTCTTTCTGCAGCCTTTCTACTGCTACTCATTGGCTATTTCATACTGCTGTCTTTCAGCCATACCCCTGATCATCTTGTAGGACTGATCTACATCTAGGCTCCTCGGACAAGGCCGAAAAACTTATCAGGTCCCGAGTGCAAGTTGTTCACGTTAAAGATCAATTGGTGGTCTAAAATCAATAAGAGTAGATGTCGGCCGCCACACAGGCAAAATTCAAATGTTCCTACCTACTGAAAATAATATTATTTAATGTGCCCCGTGCGGTCATTTGGCCTTATGCAAAACACTTACCCCCCCTCCCCACACCCCCCTCAAAAAAAAAAGAAGACTGTGTAATAGATTCTGCCTGGGCAATCATAGTTAGTTAAGTAGGCCCATTGAGCATGCTGCAGAGAATGGAAGTGTGAATAGACATGCAACAAGAATAATAGTAATAATAATAATCATCATCACCATAATAATAATCATCATCACAATAATAATAATAATAATAATAATAATAATAATAATAATAATAATAATAGTAATAATAATGATAATAATAATAATAATAATAATATTAATAATAATAGTAATAATAGTAATAATAATAATAATCACCATAATAATAATAATAATAATAATAATAATAATAATAATAATAATAATAATAATAATAATAATAATAATAATAATAATAGTAATAATAACAACAATAGTAATAGTAGTAGTAGTAGTAGTAGTAGTAGTAGTAGTAGTAGTAGTAGTAGTAATTGCAACAAAAAGAATACTAATAATAATGATTGATTATAACTACCATTATTATTATTTTTTATCATTATTATTATAATACTAATATTTGCATTATTATTAATATTGTTAATATCATCAGTATTATGATTAACATAATTATTATTGTTGTCATGATGATGATGATGATGATGATGATGATGATGATGATGATGATGATGATGATGATGATGATGATGATGATGATGATGATGATGATGATGATGATTATTATTGTTAGTAGTAGTAGTAGTAGTAGTAGTAGTAGTAGTAGTAGTAGTAGTAGTAGTAGTAGTAGTAGTACCATATTTATTATTATTATTACTATTATTATTATGTTATTATTATTGCTATTATTAATATTATCAGTATTATTACTATTATCATTATTATTACTATTTCTTATCAGTCTTTTTCTTCTTCTTCTTCTTCTTCTTCTTCTTCTTCTTCTTCTTCTTCTTCTTCTTCTTCTTCTTCTTCTTCTTCTTCTTCTTCTTCTTCTTCTTCTTCTTCTTCTTCTTCTTCTTCTTCTTCTTCTTCTTCTTCTTCTTCTTCTTCTTCTTCTTCTTCTTCTTCTTCTTCTTTTGAGTAATGAAACGTTCTATAATGATTAGTAACTGATTATAAATATCTTATTTCTATTGTGTTCTTCAACAGTTGAGGTGTCCACAAGTGTTGTCACCACGCATGAGAAAAAGCAAATATTCACACATCAGACAGTCCAGGAATGAGAGAAAAGAGAATGAAGGAATACAGCGGTACCCCTTCAGTGTCTCCCAAAATGATGCCTTTCGTTCTACTCCTGCTGTGTCTCGGGCAGGAAGCTGCGGCCTACTACACGGGCCCCATTTTGATTGCGTCATTGTTTCCTGCAGACGATAGGCGGCTTTTCTCTATCAAGAGAATCCGACCTGCCCTTGAAATAGCAGTGGAAAAGGTAGTTACACACACATACACACACAGACACACACACACACACACACACACACACACACACACACACACACACACACACACACACACACGCAAAACCACACACATAGCAGTTGAAAAGGTAGTTACATTGAGTGTACCAACAAAACCGTACGTTTTTAAAGGTATAGTATAGGTATGAACACACAGACAGACAGACAGACACACACACACCTCACTTTATTACAGCAGCCGTCATGTGCCAGTGTCTGCACGATTGTGGTATCGTCAGGACGAAAAGGGAAAGAATAATTGTGTCACGATTGATTTTTCTCGTCAGCAGTGCTTACAATTCAGCAGAGTATGCTCTTCACTTGACACTGTCTAGATCTATATACATCTAGCATACTTAGAACTGGCCTTTAAAACGAAACCTGAGAGGATTTCAAAAGTTGTTTTTTTTTTTAGAAAAACAAAGGGATGCAGTATGGTTCAAGACGATGTTAATTACTTCTCACGTATTCAGACTTAGGAATTCTGAAAAAACCTGTGAGCCCGGAGAAATATCGTCGGAAAAAAGCAGAGTATTTGCAAAAGATTACAATTACACAGTTCTATCTGAAATTTTCAGCTGTTTTCAATAACTAGTACCATGATGTCGAACACCAAATTTTAATGTTAAATAAATGTAAGATTACTCGGAGTCGTTGCTAAAATATTAAAAGAATTGCATTCGAAAAAGCTTGACATAATATTCTGAAACTCCATATTTTTTACGTCAAATCTCTCAAAAACTAGATACGGAACAGTTGGAACTTTGTAATTCTGAGAGTGTAATAATGACCTTCAGGGCTGGACAAAGAGGGATAAAAATATTATATGTATTCTGCACAAGCTTAACGGACTATATTCTGTCCACCAATGACGTCCACTAGCTGCTCAGAATGATGTACTAATAAATATCACAATTGTCCCCAGAAATTACACGTCATTTATATAGCAGTTTCTTAATCTGTGGTCACGATTGCATCTGCTTAAATATAATAAGTCAAAATTAGAATTCTAAATGTCGAGAAAAAAAGCTTTTTTAGACAAAAAATACATTAATAAAGAAGACATTCAATTTTAATAATAATAATAATACAATGAAACTTTTTCGTTGGTCGTATCTCACGAAAAATAAAAATATTTTCTGGGCTTAGAACATCTGAACGTTTTGTCGACGGTATAGAATTTAACCCACCAATCCCCAACCCAAGGCCTTGCTGAATTACTCAAGGCCGTCAAGTGCAGGCGTATTGGAAGGAGTGTGGGTAGACATGCGTCGTGTTTGCAAGGAAAAGGGTCCCCGTTTTTGTGCAAACGTGGTGTATACTTTAGAGGATTACACTTCGGCGCCGGACCCCAGTTCTGTCCTGCGTAAATATTTACCTCAAACTTGGGATGATTTCCCGTGAGGAAGAGAGAAGGAAAGTCCAAGATGTCTGGCAAAATTGTTCTCTTTACCAGCAACCCTTCCTTTCTCTCCTCGCCGCCCCCCGCCCCCCGCCCCCCTTCTACCCACGTCCTGCCTACTCCATACTCACGTCCTCCTTCTTAGATACATACTTTCAATGAGCCCCCCCCCCACCCCGGCCCTCCCCCACCCCCTTTTTTACATTCCCCAAAATAGACCAGAGTCATAAACCCAAGCAAAAGAAGAGTATATTTATATGTACCGGAATAGATAACATTAATATCCTAATGTTATATATAAAGTGCGAGAGAGAAAAAGAAATATATAATATATAAAAATAGCCCTCTCTGTATTATATATACCGGGCTTCTAATTCTTATAAGGAGGACCCATTTTTCAGCCAAACTTGGAACAAAAGAAAATCGACCAAGAGGAAGTTATAGATCTATGATTAAATATGAAATTTAAAAAATCAATCTTTGCATACCAGAAATATAAAGTTTAAAAAATAACAAACAACTTTGAATAAAAAGCAGCACTTTGGTACCTCGTAATATTCAACCATAACTTGCCCTTTTTTATTCACTGAAAATCAAATTGATATAAAACTGGCATTTATGAAAAAATCAAAGGAAATCGTTCAAAGTGTTTGCTCCAGGCAGGTGTTGAAAATTTCTCGCCACTCAAGTTAGAAAACACAGCTGGAAATCTAGAATTACCCTGTGGCCCGTTTCTGTGTCGATTCTTCGGACGATATGTTTTGTCTTTTGTTTAACAGAAAGTTTCAACATTGTCCAGTTGATTGGGTGATGTTTACGTAAACTCTTGTCTGTAAAAATAAATAAATAGATAAATAAGTTTTTTTAAAGCTTAATTAAGGAAATCACCGAAAGGGAGAGTAAACGGCTGGGGTTTTTGGGTGTGGTGTAACCATTGTAAGCGTTTGGCTTGCACAGCGTTTTCTAAGCTTGTCTTGTAGCTGTGCAAGGATGGGTGGTTAACGAGTGCTCTCTTGTAGAGCTGGGCCTAGAATCAATTCCGGAACCGATTCCCACGACTAATGCAACTGAAAAAAAGTTCCCTTTCACAAGACCCAACGGTTACCAGTAACTTTAATCATTAGAATCTTCTTTTTAAAAAGAATTTATTTTTGAAAAATAAAAGTTGATGCTTCGGAGTGTTCCGAGATCAAGGTTATCCTAAATCCTGAAGATGTTCGGAGCCAACCAGGTAACCACCGGAAGAAATCACATCTCTAGAAAGTAAGTAATTGGGATCGGAGTCGATTCCTACGATTCCTAGCTTTCAACAATCGGGAACCTAGCCGCCCAGCACTAATCTCTTGTGATCTGCGCATTCTTTCCTATAAGACATCTGATTCTATCGTCTTTATCTCTCCTCCTTCTCTTCTGTGTTTGTTACTATCTTGTAACACCTCGCGACTCAGTTTTTTCTTGTCGTGTCTCCATTTTATAAACAGTGAAAATGTGACATCTTCTTAAGCTCACTCTTTGTTAGGAACCGTTTTCACTGTCATTAAAAATGGAGATACGACAAGAAAGCACTGGGCTTTCGACCTCTAATCTTTTGGACTTATATGATCTCATTGTGTTGAAAGTGCCGTAAAACCCTTACTAAAATTTTAAAAAAATAATAAATCAACAAAACCCACCTGTCACTTATCTAT